CAGGGAACCTGAGATTGTACCAGATAGAGATACGGCTTGCTTGATGAACATACAGAATCAACATAGTCGGAGGTGACTTTGGCTTCTTGCCCTTCGCCGCTGTGTGACACATCAATTAAGCTGATGCATAAACTGTATCAGCACTTACTACGCGTCGATCGCAGGACCAGGAAGAGCCAATCCGGCAGCATTATTGATGAGAACGTCCAGCGTACCGCCTGTCACTTTGGTAACAGCAATCGCTGCATCCTGCAAACACAAATAATGTGAGCGGGCAAATGTTGTTGCAATTCGCCGCTGACAGCGCACCTTCCAGCTCGTCGGTTTCGTTAAGTCGGCCTCAAGAACATGAACGTTCTTGCGATTCGTCTGGAGGGCGAAAAGGTCCTTGGACGCAGCTGGGTTGCGCACGGTTGCGAAGACGATGTTCTCCGGCTTGGAGCTCTGTGAGGCAAGGTTGAGTACGGACACAACTATGTCATCGGCAATACGGTCTGACGTACGAGTTGCTTGACAAACTCAAACTGAACAAATAGGATGGTCAATTCAGGCAATGAAATGGAGACACAAAAGTCGCTTACCCCAAGACCACGGTTCGTACCAGTAACAACGTAGGAAGGCATATTGTATCGATGTATGAAAGAGCGGGAAAGCTTGCTAGTCTGCTGGTCTCCTGCCAACTCGAGGAAGTCCTTTATATGCACTCAACATCACTGCTACTTGACGGATGATACACCGCTGACGCGTCCACTTGCAACGGTCCTCGCACTCATGTACGCGTTGAGCAAACAGCTGCTAGGTTCTCGTTCATTTCCCGATCTTCGCGCCATGAGCAATATGTACGGGGATGGTACGGTGACGCAGGCCCAGTGTTGATTTCAGTTGGTGTGGGTGCGAAGCTTTGGACTTGTGGCCTGTACCGCCAAGAGGAGGACATATATTGGTAAGCGAGTGTTCTCCGCCCACGGACTTGGTCGATCGGACCGACTTCTACGGAAAACGAATCCATGTCGATCAGTCAGCAAAGTGGGATTGATGCCAGCAGTACTTGTCTGGGAGCGGATGTCGTGGTTGGTTGTGTAGTATACGTGATGGAGCTAATGAGCCCCGAGGACTGTCGTCGTTGTCTCTTCTTCCTGTCGTTGCGACTCAGTCAGGCCCGTTCGCGCTAAGTATTTCTGCTTGGCAGCCCAGTGTCGATGCTCTTGATGTGCATCTCCACCGAGGTAGGTGTCCCCAGTAAGCTCGAGCATCTACGGCTGCGTACGATCGCCAGTCTTCCCCGGCGGTTACGATGTCGCGGCGGGGTCACAGGTGGTCTTCGAATTTGCTGAGCCCGAGGATGAAGACTTCTGCCTCCAGCACGGCTCGAGTCAGCTGACTGGGGAGTTCATGGCGTCGACGAAGGCCTTCTGGGCAACCTCGCGAGTGGCGAGGGCAGTAGAGGCGAATGACAGTAGAGATGAGTCGCATGATATTGAGACCAGAGGGATAAGTGTATTCGGGCTCCTCGATCGCGTGTGCGACACGGTAAGAATGCTGGTGAGTCGAGTTGAGTATCACACCGAGGAGAAGGAGCCACTTATACGTACCTTTCAGCTGCGCCATGAATCTCCCTCTCAAGCCCTGAGTTCGTTTCCTAGCATCCGACATGACCTGCTCGAGGGAGCTCGCCAGTTAATCCTTGCCCTGCAGGTCGTTCGCTCGCGGATCCCTCGACGCCATATCCGCCTTCTCCACCTCCGCCTCCATCTCCAAGCTCAGCTCAGAGCCAACAACAACCGCACGCACGCCAACTCTCGCGACTTCATCCTTTGAAAGAGTCTGTCTACTAAGGGACTTCGGACAAGCCATGGCATATGGGATCCTGGAGGAGTCGAGGATATAGCAGATCAAAACGACGGAGCCTCGGGCATGCGAGAACTGGTTCAGAAAGAAGTACCTATCAGAGCAGGTCGACGGTAAAGGGAGGATTGAGACACTCACCAGTCGATCCCAATATTGAAGTGAAGATGCTAGCCGTCCAATTGACTCGTCACGTCGTAACTTCGGCGGGCAGAATCGGTGCTATATATGCTCTAGGTTGTCTTCTTCCGGAGTGTCGTATCACGACCATTGTACGGCGCGTAGGGCTTGGCCATCTGTCCGTCACGGTACGGGACTCGGAGGGCGAATCGAAGTTGGAAAAGCAGCGACCTGAATGGTCGAAAATTGTTTAGACGCGACTTCTCAGTCCGTGATCTAGTATAAGACTCACCTCTTCTTCAACATCCCCGCCTATGCGCTAGACCTCTTCGTGAGGAAGTGCGGATTAGATGAGAGCAGATGGTGGTGTAGAAAAGAGGAAGAAGTTTGTCACGGTGATGACTGCCGCCGGCGACCTCTGCCTTACCTGGACCACCATCTTCGCATCCTCTCAAGCCACCAGGCCATTCTTTCCGATATCTTCACCTCCTCTGTCTTCGAGATCTCTCATCGGAACACTATGCCCAGACTGTTATTTTCAGACCGACACGTCCCTCAAGAGCTCATCTACCACGTACTCGAGCATTTAGAGCATGATCGAAACACTCGAACCCTTCAGGCCTGCACTCTTGTCTCAAGGTGCTGGCTGCCTATCGCGCGTCGTCATCTCTTCTCTTCCATTGTCATCCACTCACCTGCTCAAGACAGGGATATTCCGTCGTTTCTAAAATTCCTCCAGCGAAATCCCTCCGCTCCTGCACACCTCACAGATCTGTGCATTTCTTACGGCACATATTCCCTCTTTGCGATCTACTCCGCATTATCTCCACTTCCGTCTCTTAGGGAGCTGCGCCTCGAAGGAGTCCAAGTTACCCCGTTGTTATCGAATGAACCAACGGATCTCTGCTTGCCAACGCAGCTTACTTCAATGAAGCTGTTGAGCTGTAAAGCTTGGAAGCGGGGAAGTGAGCCGTGGAAAGCTTTCTTTGACCTCGTCAATATGTTCCCTTCCATTGTGGAACTAGAATTGTCAAATGCTTGGCTCGCGTTCTCGCTCCAGGAGACCTCGCGCGCCCCGAAATCACTCGTCCATAGCCGAACGAGGGTGTCCTGTCTTACATATTCTCCTTGTCCAAACGAGGAGGAAGACGCCTTCATCCGCTCCACTGCACAGGCGTTGGATCTGTCGAATGTTAGCTGGTTACAGCTCACGCCTTGGTGGCACGCACGGGGACTTCAAAAGCTAGTCAACCCGGCATCCCGATTGAAGACTTTCATCATAAGCTTAGAAGACTTCTCAGTCCGTGAGTGCACCATCTGTTGCTGTTCAGCAGCAAATTGACGTTCAATGTACAGATGATCCTGAGGACTTAAGAGCTTTGTCTCTCAGGTCTTGCGCAGAACTGGAGGAGATTGCATTCAATGCAGTGCTCACGGCGCATGCTTGTGGCGTGGACGTCGAGAACTTCGATTTCGGACTACGGAACGCCGTCACCATGGTGGAGTCTGTGCCAGTCGGGGCACCGCTGGCCGCGGTGCGGCTGAACATCCACGTCAGCATCACAGTGCTGATAAACAGGCTCGTCGCGAGTCTAAATGCGATTGATTGGGGTGCACTCAACTGCGTACTTCCGTCGCTGAGGCACTTGTCCGAGCTGGAAGTGATGATGCACCTGCCCTCTGCTTGGGATGTGAGCCAGGTAGAAGACGAGCTGCGGAACGTCGCTGCACGATGCACGATGCTGTTGCAGCACTCGGTGTCGTCCTCTCCTACGGTTCACATCTCGTGGAGTGTCTTATCTTGAAAGGCCCTCTCCAAACCCCCACCGTTTTTCGTCTCTTGTCCGGCACCGGTCTGTACGCTTGTCGTACTTCGCATTGCATCTAGCCCTCTTCTGATTCATCATCTGACCATGCTGATACTCGCCGACTATTGTGTATTACCACGTCTATCCCTCTGCTACCCGTCTCCTTGTCAGGTACGACTCATACAACCATCCTGGCTCCGTTCACCGCCCCGGTATCCACTCGAATTTTGGGCCACAGTGACTTTGACTATGCGTCTATCGTTCAAGCTGAACATGCACTTTCTGAATTGGAGGTCAGTATCACTGTGGTCTTTGAATAGTGTCCTTCCTTATCTTCACGCTCGCACAGGCCCTCTCACCCAACCTGACCGCGTTCCACGCTCGCAATGGCAAAGTTATGCACCATGTTGGCTGGAACGAGAGTCGCATCAGTGCTGGCAATACACTACTACGAGAGTCTCAACGCTTGGAATTTGGCCAATGCAGAGTTCAAGACAGACGATTTTGAGACTATTCACAGTTCCTGGCCTGGAGCGTTGGTGAGACTTCTCCTCTCATCGCGTATGAGTGTAGACTAATCATGTTCTCCAGCCTTGTAAGCGATCAACATCTCTCAACTTGAAGCTGCCTCATCACTCCATTGGTTCTTCGCGCAGGGCGGCTTCGGCCCATTTACCTTCGGCGGCGTAAGCCAAGCAGGGAGCGGGATGCCTCCGGCGGGGTTCGATGCTCAACACGACATGCTCGCTGCTCTAGAAACTGGGTGGAGAGCGATGTTGCTCCCGAGCACCTGGTTGGTACGGGGCTATCACAACAACTCGATTGCTGGCAGCATTCAACTCCAGCGACCGCTTTGCAAGGTCAGTTCGCACCCTTCGCTGTCATACTGGATGTTCCTGATTCGATTGTTGCAGTGTCCCGTCACGTCGAGGTACAGAGGTGGTGTTCCTAACGAAGCAAGCAGCTTCGTATGCGGGTAGAGACGGCCGTTCATTTCTTCTACCCCGAACGTACTAAGCACCTACTGTATGACTCTTGCTGCTATAGTACCAATCGCCTTTGAATCATCGACAGTAACTGAATCTGTGCATGCAACAATATACTCGATGGTGGCAAAACTCTGAGTTGCATGAGAAAGACGGGAAAGGGTACAGTGATGTTCGTACTTGTTGCTTTTTTGCCATGGAACGCTCTAAAACACCAAAAAGGTACCATATCAGGAGTGTATGGACACTGAGGGGATTGAACCCTCGACCTCATGCAGTCATATGACATGACCGAGATCACGTTCTATGCAAAGCAGGCGCGCTACCACTGTGCCAAGTGCCCGTTGAATGAAGTTGACCCATATATATTTATCATGTAACGGCAATCCCGTGACCACGCTTGACGTCACTCAACCTCACATTCGTCACTTCGCCACCTTCTTTCAGACTCGCAAGGATTCATCTCTGCGCCACAATGAACGGGCCTCTCCAGTTTCCCTTCCACAACCATGACCTCAGACGACAACAAACGTCGCATTCATACGAACGTACACCCTGAGGCAGATTTACATCAAGGAGAACACTCCTACATTCCTCATCCTCCGCCCGACGACCATCACGAAAGACACGAGTACAAAGCGTTCCCCGATACAGGATGGCGCGGCGAGCCGAAGATCCCGAGTAGCAAAGGTGGAGCCGACGAGCTGGAGTTTCTACACAAGCCGCCGTATGAGTGGAAGAGCGAGGGAGGTAGATTCGAGGCAAAGTACACGACGTGAGTCTATCATTGCAGTCTAGCTCAAGTGACGCGACTTATGACAATTGACATAGACGATGTTGGTGTGGCAACGTCTCGTTTGAATTCCATGGCGATCCAATCGACGCGAAGCACTGTCACTGCCGTCAATGCCAGCATCTCCATGGTGCACCCTTTCAGTGGGCTGTCATCTTCCCCAAGGTGATCATTCTCTCAAGTCAACGTGTCTTATGATCGATCTCACGCGTCCACAGACGTCGGTGCGTATGATCAAGAACGTGGACAATAGTCTGCACTTCTTCAGCACTGAAAAACGCACCGGAGAGCACTACGTCCCGTGCAAAGTCTCCTGCGACGTCTGCCGCTCGCCACTCTTCGACGAAGGTCGTAACACTGTCTTGGCCTACCCTGGCTCGTTCGTCTTCAAGGATGGAAAGGTTCCGATGGACTTCCAGCCTACCGCGCATATATTCTACAAAGAGCGGTGCGTGGTCGTCGAATCGCGTGTGCTTTCTCCTCTCAACGCGTTGTATGCAGGGTGATGGAAGTACCGGACGGTATTCCGAAATGGTCTGGTCACAAGGGCGACAGTGAGCTGCTTCAAGAGCTTACGGACGATGCAGGGTTCGTCTTCTATCCCTTGTCTCGAGATGCATTCGTGCTGATTGAATCGGGCGAAACAGAAAGATGCCGAAGTATAAGGGGAAAGCAGGTCCGGAGGTAGAGACTGAAGTCAGTCCGACGAAGCCTATGGTCTAAGCTTCGATCCAACTCGCTGTAGACGAAGCTCAGTGGATTAGCATTCTTTTGAGTGTGCCAACATGACGCGTGAGAAGTGTCAGCTATCGCCAGCTGCCGAGGAGCGATCAGATTTGCTCTGTAGAGTAAATAAGGATTCATATAATACACTCCTTCGAAACTATCTTCGATAAGGGTTTGCTCTCGTCCCCTTCACCACGAAAGGCTCTTCGCCTTTCAGCTTTTCCCCTGTTGCCTTCGCCGGCTTGACTACTTTGGAGTCTATGTGCGGAGGAAGAGGATCCGCCATATCATGAGGTGATTCCAACGGATACGTCCTCCCCGGCGCCCATGCTTCGCGGGCTGTCACCCCTTGGGGTGAAGCAGATCCAACGCCAAGACGAGCACCTACTTTGTTCTTCGCGTGGCCCACCGAACTACTGAGCGGCTTCTTGTCTTTGTAGACAGGGGGTGGAGGCTTGGAGCCTCCGGTGCATGGTTTATGCCGATGGGCTTGTTTTCATATTCCGGTGGTGGAGTGATAGCCTGGGGATCAGGAGAGACTCTGTCCGCGTACGGCAATGGGAGGGCAGTACGAGCGGGTCGATTGTATTTGGGAGGTGGTGAGTCGGGATTGTGAGGAGCTGGAGGGGCGACAGGATGTGCGGCGGGCTCTTCTGGATCGGCGCGTCTCATGAGAAGAGCGGAAACCTCACTTGAATGAGAAAGCTGTGAGTATCACTGAGGGTCGGAGAGAACCATACAGCATGCTCACTTCTGGCGCGGATCAAAACAAACGAACTCGTGACCGTAGATGGCCTGGAGGACGTCGCGGACGATTATATTGCGGTTGCGTGCCAACACTGCGGCACCTTCAGCGTATCCACGGGCTTCGTGAATGCGGAGAGGGGCGGCCATCGCTGAGCCCGTGGCAACAATGACGATACTGACGGTCGCAAAGCGCATGATGTCGGTAGAAGGAGTCGTGATAGGAGGGCCGTGTCGTTGAGATCGCGTGAAAGAGCATCGTCAAACTGCGATAGACAAATCATGTCGAGAAACAATAGAAAAGAAGTTAGAAGATGACTGACCTGCCAGAGCTTGTGGGATGAATTAGCTGAGCTACGATGTGAGCACCGGGCTCAGGGAATGTCGTTAACTACGGTGGTCGCATTTTATATCAGGTGCCAGTCATCAACTCCGGCTCGACTGTCCTGTCAATTCCGTCCATGTAGCAGCAGATTTGGCGTCATAGCTTGCTCGTATCTTGCTCAAAAATCCACGTCCACGGCGTCGTTTTTCGCTCTCCGGAAGTGAGAGTTATGGGCGCTGATGATGGTAGCGTTGGTGAAGCAAAATTGAGCGGTCGTTGTACTGATTGAGAGCGATTCAGCGTACCAGGGTTCTTATATGCTCGAGCTGGATGGATGATCGCGTTTGGCAGAGTAAACTTGGTGTGAGCCGGTGGCGGCAGAGATCTCTGCGGCGTTATCTCAGAGTCTGAGCAGGACGGATGTTCGGCCCGGTCCAGCCACTGCTAGTTCAACCAGTACGCGACTCTACACCAAAGCATTGTGAGTATCACTGAGGAGAGTCGCAGAGAATGATACAGCGTGCTCACATTTGGCGGGCTGTCATACGAGCAAACTCGCGGGCGTAGATGGCCTGAAGGACGTCGCGGACGATTAGATCGGGGTCGCGTGCCAGCACAGCTGCACTTCAAGTTTTGTCGTAAATACTCCGATGAACTTCGTAAATGCGGAGAGGGGCAGCGATTGTTGAGCCCGTGGCGACGGTGGGGATGCTGACGACGGCGGTCTCAAAGCATATGGTGACAGTGAAGGGAGTCGTGATAGAAGGGCCATGTTGTGGAGATCGCGTGAAAGAGCGCCGTTAACTTGCTGCAGCAGAAGATTCATCTCGAAGAACGGCGAGAAAAAAATTACTCTTACCAGAGCTGGTGAGGCGAATCAGGCAGCAGACTTGGTGCAGTAGCTTGCTCGTATATTGCACCTCCTCGCTGTATCATCTCTTCCTAACAACGGCTAAATTGCAGAAGGTTAAGCGCTAAGCACTGAGTCCTTCTCTCATGCAGACTCGGACTGAGACAGCTCTTTACTCACGACGACGTGGTCGCCCTGAAATCAACAGCTGGGCAAACGGCACCTGAGGAGCTCGAGAGAGACTGACGGACGAGAGAAGATGAGAGACATCTCCGAGCTCGCGACCATGATGCATGATGCAATCGGCGGGACTTGAACTTAAGGCTGGAGGCTGGAAGAGAAGAGAACAACATGATTTGAACTTGCTCTGAGCATTGGATGGTACTTACGCGTAACGTACGCGGCATGAGACAGGTGATGCTGGACTTTTCGGAGGCCATCGCGTACCAGTAGTATCAACGCCGCCCAAGACCGCAGGTGTGCCTCATGTTCTGCACTCAGCAGATCAATCAGATCTCAAACGCAGCACTACTGGCAGAGTGTCGCCAAGGATCACAAGCTCCTCGAGGCTCGGATGTCCTCAGTGAGCGTTGAGTA